ATTTTTTTTTACTTATTTTTTTATGTGTATGGGTGTTCTGTTTGCATGTGTGTAAGTGTACCATGTGTGTGTAGTGCCTGCAGAGTCCAGAAGAAAGTGTTTGATTCCCTGGAATTGGAGTTACACACAGTTGTTAGCTGTCATGTAGGTACTAGGAACAGAAGCCAGCTCCTCTGCAAGAGCAACCAGTGCTGTTAACCACTGAGTCATCTCTCCAGCCCCTTAACTGACTTGCTTAAGGTCACATAGCCATCAAATTGCAGAGTCAGGATTGCAGTCAGGTCTTGCAATCCTAAGACTTCTGCTTTTTCCTTCTGTGTTTCAATTTTGGGTTTTTTTTTTTTTTTTTTTTTTTGGTCTTTTTGAGCCTGGGTCTCCCTATAGCCCCAGCTGTCCTGGAACTCACTATGTAGACCAGGCTGGCCTTGAACTCACAGAGATCCGCCTGCCTCTGCCTCCCAAGTGCTGGGATTAAAGGCGTGCACCACCACACCTGGCCCTATTTCGGGTTTTTGTAGAGGAAAATAGCCAAATGCCATCACAGAGAATATTTTCTTAATGTTGATGTATAATTCTATATCCCATAAGAGAACAGAACAAACTTCGAAAGGTCAAGGAACCCTTTCCTTGGCTTTATTTATTTATTTTTTGAGGAGGGTCTCTAGCCCATCCACTGGTTATAGTAGAAACTTGACTATCTGACTCCTTTCGGGCTGGCCGCATGAATGTCTCAACCGGAGTTGCCCTTTGAAGCCTTCAAGGTGAATGATCTGCAGTAAAACAACAGTTCTCCCAGAGGTGAATTCTTATCAGAAGCGCAGAGAAGGAAAAAAAGAAAAAGGCTTACAGAGGTGCAGAATGATCTTCCCTTCTCATTCAGGAAAAAAAGCCCACTGGGAAAGCAGAGGTATGTTGTAGGCACCTACAAGACAGGACAGAGTGGAAGGTGCACCAGCCCAGCCCTCTGGGACTGCTGACAAGTTTGTTCATGGCCTCAGGGACCACACGGATTCCAGGAATCAATTCTTCACTATCACGTAAAACATTCATCAAAAGTCCTTGCTTGATGGCCTTTTGATCTTTAAAAGAAAGTTTATTTATTGGGGCTGCTGGAGAGACGGCTTACCAGTTAAGAGCACATACTACTCTTGCAGAGTTTGGTTCCCAGCAATCACATCAGGCAGCTCACAAAACCTGTAACTCCATCTGGAGAGACGGCTTACCAGTTAAGAGCACATACTACTCTTGCAGAGGGACCCGAGTTTGGTTCCCAGCAATCACATCAGGCAGCTCACAAAACCTGTAACTCCAGTTCCAGGGGATCCTGATATGACTTCTGATCTCTTTGGGCTCCTGCTTGCCGGTGGGTGGTGCATATAAACTCAAGGTGACTTCCTCAATTTCTGTCTGTCTCATTTTTTGAGACAGGTTCTCTCACTGAACCTGGAGCTCCCTGATTTGCCTAGACTAGCTGGTCGGCAAGCCCCGTGGCTCGTCCTATCTCCCTCCACAGTGCTGGGATTACAGGTGTGTGCTTTTGTATCCAGTGTTTACCACAGTGTTGGAGATCAAAGTCAGGTCCTCATGCTCGTGCATCAAGCCCTTTACTGATGGAACCATCTCCCCAGCCCTTTTTCGTTTATTTTTGAGATAGGATCTTACTATGTAGGTCTAGAGCTCACTATGTAACCCAGGCTGGCCTTGAATTCATGCTCCTTCTGCCTCAGCCTCCTGGGTGCTGGGATTACAGGCTTACTGGGCTACATGAGACTCTGTCTCAAAAATAAATAAGTAAAATTAATGACTGTGTGACAGGTTCCTGACTCACTGTGGCCCAGCACTGTGAGACAGCATGGTGCTGCACATGGTTAGACTTAGATCGGAACTCAAAGCTCAAGTAGAAAAGTTCCCACAGAGTTTGAATCACTTTTGTACCATCTTAAACCCAAACGTGGGAGTCAGACTGCGGTAAGTTGGGGACTGTCTGTATATACTTTTGTGGCTTCTTTTCCCTTTCCTTTTCCTTTTCTCTCTCCTTTCCTCCTTTTACTCCCTCCTCCCTTCTTCCTTCCCTCCTTCCCCCTCTCCTTCTCTTCTTTCCTAGACAAGGTCTCACTACATAACCCAGGCTAGACTTCATCTCCTGAACCTCTTGCCTGAATGCTGGGATTATAGGACTGTACCATCATGCCTATGACTTTGCTGTTTTTGTTTTTGGACTTGCTATGTAGCTGAGGTTGACCTTGAACTCCTGCTCCTCCTACCTCAAACTCCTGAGTGCTGGGATTACAGGGGTGCACAGACCTATTTTTTTTGCGTGTGTATGTGTGTGTGTTTGGTGTGTGTATGCTTTTTTGCATGTGTGTGTGTACATGTGGAGGCTAGAAGTCGATGTCAGGTGTTTTCCTCAATTGTTCTCCCCTTTATTTATTGAGAAAGAGCCTTTTGATGAACTCTGAGCTGATTTGGCTTGTCTAGCTAGCCCACCTGCTCTGAGGACGGCCTGCCTATGTCTTCTAAGGACTGAAATTACAAGTGGGAGGCCACATGCTCTGGCTTGTACATCGAGATCTGAGCTCTGATCTTCATACACAGTTAAGTGTCTTATCCACTGAGCCATCTCCCCACTACACTCAGTTTATACAGTGCTGGAGATTAAATGCTGGCTTCGAGCATGCTAGGAAAGTACTCTGCCCCTAAGCTACATCCCCAGCCTTTCTTTTGTGACTCTCCTTGTTCCTTGGCACCAACCCCAGCAGTGTGTCTTTTCTGGGTTCTTCTGACTTAGAGGCCACCAGTTCTGAGCAGCCAGAGTGGCTATTTGAGAACTGTTCATGTGTGGGTCAGAGATGGGTGATGGGAAGTAGCAATGGTGATGGTTTTATTGAGGAGCGATAGGGCAGCTCCAGAAGTAGATAGGTCTTTTTGCCTCCAAGGACTCTTCTACTCAGGGACCCCTAAACTGGATTGTGGTTCTGTGAGGGTCCGGTCTTGCCAAGACCTTGGGGGCTTACCAGATGTGAGGAGCCAGAGGTTTTGCCGGGAGCTGCAGGCTAGCCGCCGGGTAAGCAACAAGAAGGCCATGACCCCCTCCTTCAGGAAGAGGAACCCTTCACTTGCTGCTGCTCTGAAAGAGACCACAAACACAGACTTAGTCCCATGGGGATCACATCCCTGCCACTGGGTACCTAACCCACCATTCCCTGCTACTGGAGAAGGCTCTTCTGACACTAAATCTTTTGCTGTATGCAAAGTATTTTCTTTAATCAAGCACATTTTGTCCTGAATATATACTCTAATTCATGTTTTCTCTTTGACCTTTATCATACTCTGGACAGGAAGACCATACCCATTTTCTAGATGGAAAAATAAGAGATGGTTGGAGAGATGACTCAGACAATAAAGTGCTTGCTATGCAAGCATGAGGACCTGAGTTTGATCCCCAGAACCCATGTAAAAAAAGCTGGGGTGTGGTAGTACATGTTTGTAATTCTAGCACCAGGGAGGTGGAGATGGTTGGATCCCTGGGGCTCACTGGCCAACCATTCTAGTAGAATTGGTGAGCTCCAGGTAAAAGTGAGAGACCTTGTTTCAAAAAACAAGGTGGAGAGTGACTGAGGAAGACATTTGAGGCTGACCTCTGGTATCCACATGACCCCCCACCCTCCATGTGTGCGTCTATACACATACACACAAAATAATGAATAAATAAATAAGATAAATAGAGTGCAAAGCACTGGATTGAGTTTCTTTGTAAATGAGGACAAGCCAAGTTTTGTGGGATGAAAGTCAGAAAGGAAACTTCAGAGCAAACATCTCTGATCATTGGATGTGGGAAGCTCTGGGTTCCCTCTAACCTGTTCCCACATGGACCTTTGGTCCCTGGGCTGTCCAGGGAATTTGGGCACCCAGTGGAACAGCCAGCGACCTATTTCAAAGGACACAGAGACCTAGAATCACAAACTCTTCTAGTTTGCTAGGGACAGAGAGATTCCTAGGGTGTGAAACTTTCCAGTTTGAAGCCAAGGCAGTCCTGGGCTCAGTGGAACGGTCACTCTATCTAGGGTCTCTCATGCCTGAAGCTTATCTTGGCTGTGGATAGCTAGATACTACACTAACTGCTAAACCTGTTAGAGCAAATCCAAGGCCCTTCTCACGGAGAGCAGAGAGCCAGGGATGTTGCCCTCATGGATGATCCCCGATGCAGAAGAAAACATGAAGAGTAAAAGAGTTCCTACCTGAACAGTGAGAGCCTTCGTAAGCAAGTCTAGAAATCCCTTGGCAGCCTGACCACCTTTGTTTTACTTGTTAGCACCAACTCAAGGGGGCTTCTGTTGATTTCTATCAGAGTTCCAGCTGACCACTAGACCAGTAGATTCTGTGCAACCACATCATCTCTCTCGGAGGATCCATACCAGAGCCAGCTACACTGTGTTCTGGAGACATAGCTTTTCCTGGGTAGGTACAGTCATGTAAGGTGTGGGGTGAAATGCTCTGAAGGGTGCACTGTCCAGCTCTAGGCATCTGCTCAGCTGTTCAGCAAAGAGGGGTTCTCCTCATATGAGAGATGAGGAAAAACCTCTTAGGGGTGATCTCATTGGCCACAGGGTTGTCTGCGACTACCTGACCCTCAACCCTACTTTACTTATAACAGATCAATTAATTCAGCTAACCTGTTTGTAATTGATAGAGGGTTTGGTGAATAAAAATGACATAGTTCAGAGAATCCATTTTATTTCTTTTCCTCAGAGAAAAACAGAGAGGGGTGAACAGTAGGCTTTGAAAGTATGACCATAAATTAACTTAGAAACCATATTCTTTTCTTGACAGTTTAATGGGGTTTTTAAAAAATTAATTCTAGTATATCCAACTCAAGGCAAGCCTATTAATTTAGCAGTGGAGTAACTATGTAGAAGGAACAGTCACCATCTCTCACTTAAAACTATTTGTCTCAAACAGGCACACTGAAACTTCACACAATTCAGAGTTCTTCCATTAAATGTGTTTTTGAAAATTGGAGTGTTGAGGACTTGAGCATTAACATCTGACTATTTCATAAAAGAGAGAGCCAGGCCCTTGCACTTCAAAGATAGCACCCCACTCTGGAAAGTCTTTCTTGGTAGCTTGTGACATTTTGGTGGCCTATGACTGAAGCTGACCTTAGAGCAAAGCACGATCTCCATCAGACACTTCTTAGCAATCTTTAATATTTTAAGTAATCGGAAGAGTCACAGAATTGTTCATTCACTCTCTCGCCCACTAATTCAATCAACAAAAGTTAATTAGGCAGGTGTTACAGCAAGGCACTGAGTCATTTAAGAACAGAAGGAAGAAAACCAGAGAAGACACTCTCATAATCCATCGGCAGCAGACTACAATCAGAGAAAGGGTGGGAGCCATCAATGTACCAGCCTGCTTTAATGCATCCTGTCATTAAATTCTTAAAATATCTGGTGAGGTATGAACATAAAAAATTTTCCAGTTCACTGTCAACAATGAACTCGGAATAAGACAATAATGGAAAGCCAGGTATGGGGGCACACCTATAATCCTAGCATTTAGAACTTGAGGCAGGAGGACTGTGAGTTCAAGGACAGGATAGGCTACATAATAAGGTCAAGGCCAGCCACAGTGAGACCCTGTCTCAACAAAACAAACAACATACAACAAAACAAACAAAACAAAACAATACCAAGCAAAAAAACAACCAACCAAACAAACAAAAAAAAACAAGCAAAACAACCAAACAACACCAAAATGGAACCCTGACTGTTAGGCTGGTATGCGAAAGGTGTTCTGGGAAGATAGGGAGGTGCCTTCTGGGCAGGGCTCAGTAGATATAGTAATGGTAGAGTACAAAGGCCAAAGAAGAAAGGGGAGGTGAGACAGGAGTGAGTAATGTTCAGTAGTATCAGATGGTGGGGACAGCCAAGGATCCAGATAAGGTTGCCGGGGCCTGGCATCACAGTGGTGGGAGGGGCAGGATTTTGCTGGAGTTGACTCCGGTATTATGCCTAGTTTGACCTCTGTGAACGGCCCCTCCAGGAGAAGAGCCAACCACGCCATGCTAGCCTCATGCACAAGGGTCTAAGCTCAGTTAAGCTTCCTGAGAGGGGCAGGGGACAAGCATTCAGTCCATCCACAGGGCACCAGGATCACCATGAGCACACAAGATAGGCTTGTTGTAGGGCACTGACGAGAGAGACTAGAGGAAGCTGAAGAACAACTCCACAGTCCCTAGTCTTAGGGTAGGTGTGGACTTTTAAGTATTTGGGTTCTGGCCTAGTATGGCGTCAAACATCTGTAATCCCAGAACTCGGGAAAGTCTATGGCAGAAGGACTATGGTACGCTTGAGGCCAGCAAGGGCTACATAGCAAGACCCTTTCTCAATAAATAAAAGAATTATGGGTTCCTTTTTAAAATTACATTTATGTCTCTGTCTCTCTCCATCTCGCTCTGTGTTTCTCTGTGTAAGTGTGTGTGTGTATGTGTGCAAGCACATGTGGAGGTCAGAAGATAACTTCCAGGAATGTCTTCTTCTTCCACCATTTGGGTTGTAGGAATTGAATTTAGGTCCTCAGGGTTAGTGGCAAGGACCTTTACTCATTGAGTCATCTTGCCAACCCAGAATGATGGGTTTCTAAGCAGGGTGTACTCTTGTAATCCTAGCTCTTGGGGACACTAAATTCAACTTGAGCTACATAGGGATATTCTAATTCAAACAAGAAAAAGAATTATGGGTTCTGCAAGAAGTTACACATAAAATTACCTTATGACAAATTTCATCCAGATATGTACCCAAAAGAACTAAAAAATGGGGACTCAAACAAACACACAGCTTCATACACTCAGAACATCATTATTCATGTCCAAGTGTCCATCAAGGGATGGATGGATAAGTAAAAGGCAGTGTGTGCACATAATTTGTACAGCGGAGTGTTACCCAGTGACAGAAAGGAACAAAGCACAGACACAGGCAATGGCAGAGACAAACCAAGTGCATTGTGCTAAATCAAAGAATCTAGACATAGAGAGTCACCTGTTGGATGAGTCCATTGATGTTAAACTTCAAGAATAGGAAAATCCAGGGCTGGAAATGTAGCTCAGTAGGTAGAGTGCCTGCCTGGCATGCATGAAGCCCTGGGTTTCATCCCCAGCACTGCATAAACTGGGCATGGTGGTGTATATCTGTAATCGCATCACTGGCAGTAGAAGCAGGACGATCATACATTCAAGATTATCCTTAATTATATACTGAGTTCAGGAAAGTCTGGGCTATACAAGAACTTGTCACAAAAACAAAAAGCAAAGCAAAGCAAAGCAAAACATTTCTCCAACCTCAACCAACCAATAAAACATAAAAGATAGATTGGGGCCGGGCATGGTGGACTCTGTGAAATCAAGGTCAGCCTGGTTTACATTGAGGATTCTAGGCCAGCTGGGGCTACAGGGACAGTCTGTCTCAAAAAAACAAAGAATTCAGAGGAGGTATAGTGGTGCATATCTTTAATCCCAGCACTTGGGAGGCAGAAGTAGACAGATCTCTGTGACTTCTAGGCTAGTCTGGTCTACATAGCAAGTTTCAGGCCAGCCAGAGCTACATAGTTGTTAAGAGCATCAATAAACCCCATAAATTTAACTGGTCCAGACTATAAAAAATGTCTAGTCTTGACTACTATCCTCAGGCCTCTTGGGGTAAGCCAATAGCGCAGCCCTTCGCACCGGGACTCCTAAGCCACATTCACCCTTCCATCCCCCGCGCCATTCTATACTCCTAGTTTGGGCCCTGCGCCATTCCTAGTCTTGGGGCCCCAGACACCTGGGGAACCAATACTGCTTCCTGACCCTTCTCACCCAGACGAACTTAGTGCCTTTCTTGGGCCCCAGGAGCACCGCTTCTGGTGCTGACCCCGCCCTCACCTCTCTGTGCTTCCCTGGGCCTGCACCACCGGCTAACTCTCCTAGCCTGCACTACTATCTTCAGATCTCTTGGGGTAAGTCTATAGTGCAGCCCTCCGCTCCGGGACTCCCTAAGCCACATTCACCCTTCCATCCCCCACGCCATTCTATACTCCTAGTTTGGGCCCTGAACCATTCCTAGTCTTGGGGTCCCAGACACCTGGGGA